TGATGCCAAAAAAGGACCTCCCGTCCTGCCCTCTGACCCCCAGGAGTAAGGGGTGGTGGTTGCTGAACAGGGGAGCATCCGTGCTCCCATTCTTACCAGTGTTCAGGCTGTGCCTCCTGCAAAAAGCCTTCCCGGCCTGGAACTCTTCGCTCTCTGTCCCGGTCCCCCAGGATCCTGCATGAATCTCTCTTACACAGCACTTATGACTGCCTGCCTTGTTTCATAGTTATTTATGTATGTGTCTGTCTCCCCAAGGAGGCCGTGAGCTGCTAGAGCAGGGAACAGGGTCTGTGTGCCCTCTGCCTCCCCTCCCCGGTATCTGATAGGATGCTTTGCCTCATATACATCTGCTGAACTGACATCTTAGCCCCTGATGTCAGGAGGAGGAGTACGTTTAGGGAGCTAAAAGAGAGTAACCAGTACTTACTGCTATGGGTTGGTGGCCCACAGTTAATAACGAAAACAAACGGTAATAGTAATTACAGTGATGATAAGAATTTTAACAAGAGCCATTTTTATGGGTGACTAATTCCAATTTAGCTCTTTCATCGATGATCTCATTTAATCATAATCATAGCTCTATGAGGTGGGTATTACGATGCCCATTTTATACACGAGAAAAACCAAGGCTCAGGGAGAGGGAGTGATCCACCCTTGCAGGGTCCAGAGTGCTGCTGGGATTCCCACGCAGACTATTCTGACTACACCATACTGAATTTTTCATTTTTGACGCTTGACTGATAAATCCAGGGCTCAGAGAGGGGAAGGAACCTGCCCAGGACCACCCACCTAGGAAGAGGCAGAGCTGAGATCTGAACCCCAGGTCTGATCTGACTCCAGTCTTGACCACGCTGTTCCCTAAGATCCATCCCAGAGCCCCGAGGTTTGGTCAGGGGAGAGGTGCATGGGACTTCTGCTCGGGACACGGCCCCAGAGGTCCCCCCAGCCTCCGTCCCCTGATGGCTCTGCCCAGCCCTGCTCACCTGGCACATGAGGATCAGAGGCTCCCGGAACTCAGCCTGGCAGATGGCACAGATATCGCCGGCTTCCGTGCACTGTTGCCCAGTGGCCCGGACGCCGTAATTCTGTTTGAGGGAGGGGAGAGAGATAAGGCCAGCTGTGGACCCTCACCAGAGCGATGCCCTCAGGAGTGCTGTGAGAGCCCTTTCCAGCACCTGGTTCTTTTGCCTTCAGTGGGGGCCATTTGAAATCTGCTCACCTGAGAGGTGCAGAGAAGCTTCAGGGCTTTCCTAACTCCGCCCACACGACCACAGATGTCGAATGACTGAAAAGACAGGGGAGTGATGGCTGAAAAGTCTCCCAGGGTTGTTTAGGATCTCTCTCACCACTCCCGATCAACCCTCACCGATCCCTCGTCTTTGACGACGAACGTTTTTAGGACACTCTATCCCATTCGGAGCTCCTCATTCCCCTCAGTTTTGCTTCGCATTTGTCTTGCTGCCTTATGTCAATAGGCTCCCTTGCTAGCTGGGCCAGGATAGCAAATACATGACATACATCCTGCCTCTTCCCCCTGCCAAGCCCAGCACAGGCATTGCTAATTGATCACAGCACTCTGCTTCTGAGCCCAGCCAGCACCCCAGTCAGGTACTGCCAGTCGATCAGAATCAGCAGGCAAGAGAAGCCCCAGTGGTTTACAGGGCATGGATGGCCCGGCTAGTCCTGCTGGGAGAAAGGGAAGGGAAGAACACATTCCCCCAGGATTCTCTAGAGCCAGAAACAGAGAAGGGAGAAGAAAGAGGAGAATGTGTTTATGGTTAGGGGGGAAAACCCCGATTTGCACCCAGGAATGGAAACAAGTGTCAGGGGGCAGTGTTGTCTATGGGTAAGAGCTCTGGGCCCTGGAAGCAGGCTGCCCAGGTTTGACACCCACTCTGTTGTCTTTAGCCCAGTGATGCTGGGCAAGTTGCTTCTCTCTGAGCCCCCATCTCCTCGCCCATAAATACTGGAGTAATAATGGAAATATGTGAAGGGAGAGTATCTGGTGAGCTTTATGGGCAAGAAATTAGGGTGGATTTAACCACAAAAAGGAATGAAGTATTGATATATGCCACCATGTGGATGAACTTTGGAAACATGATGCTAAGTGAAAGAAGCCGGCCACAGAAGACCACCTAGTGGAGGATTCCATTTATGTGAAATGTCCACAATAGGCAAGTCTATAGAGACAGCAGACTGGTGGTTGCCAGTGGCTGGGGGAGGGCAGTGAGCAGGAATGGGGAGGGACGGCTTAATGGGTACAGGGTTTCTTTTTGGGGTGATGAAAATGTCTTGGAACTAGATGGTGGGGGTGGTACAGCCCTGTGTACCTGCTCAATGCAACGGAGCTGCACACCGTAAGATGGTTAGTGGTTCATTTTGTGTTGTGTGCATTTTACCTCCCTTAAAAAAAAAAAAAAAGATTCCAAGCTCCCATTTGCCCCTAAGGCCCAGCAAATGAGTGGACCTTCCTCAGGCCAGCCCCCAAGCCCCCAGCCCACCTCACCTTGCAGAGGCTGTAGAGAACAATCAGGACCCCTCCTAGGAAGTAGCTGTTGGAGGAGTCATCTCCCATAATGTATTTATACCACAGCTGGATGGGGACAAGCGATCGGAACAGCTGGCTCAACTCCTCGATGACCAGATAGAACTTTCCCTGCAACCACACAGAGAGCATCAATTATTATTAGCTGTAAAGGACCCAAAGGACCCAGCTGGGGGTCCCCCAGCCTGGGCAGTAATGACGTTCCAGGTCACAGGCAGGCCATTAATCAGCTTTGGAAAGCACTCAGACCTGCTCCTAATGGGTTTGCGATATGGCCGGGGAGACGTGGCCCCTGCCCACCGCCCTCACCCACTGCCCACCAGCGCCGAGGAGCAAAGCTCTGAGGATCACATTTCAGGGAGGGAGAAACTGGACACTTCTGTTGGAGGGCTGGAGTGTGGGTCACTCCCTGGTGCCTGCTGTGGCGTTGGGGCACCGTCCCTGGCCCCACACACAGATTGCTCTTGTCTCGAGAGCTGACCCAGGCATCACGGGGGGCCGGCCTCCGGGGCATGGGCTGGATGGACAACAGGAAGCAAGTAAGGGCAGGCCTAGAGGTGGAAGGGGATATGTGTTCTCCTTCCCAGCTCCACCACCTACAGTCTGCAAGGAGGCAGGGGGACATCTGGGCAAAGGAGATGCATTTGGGATTCAGATGGGGCTGGGTTTGAAGCTTGCATTGCTGCAAGCTCATGGGCCCCAGCTTCCTCATCTACAGAATGAGAACCACAACTCCTATCTTATAGGTTGCTCTGAAGATTCACAGAGAGCATCTAGCACTGTGCCTGGCATGGAGCAGTACTCAACCAATTCTATTTCCCTTCCTCCCTTTGCCCTTGGACAAGTCCCTCCAGCTTTCTGTGGCCTGAGCTATAAAATGAGATGAAAATAACCCCACTCTGTTATGTCTAATAAATTTAAACATGTACCTACTTATGACCCAGCATCTCCACTTCTATGTATGGACCCCAGAGAAATGAAAATATGTCTGCTTATATGCAAATGATCATATAGCAATTCTATTCATAATACCTCCAAGCTGGAAACAGCCCAAAAGTCTATCAGTGGAAGAATGGATAAACAAATTGTTGTATATTTATACAATAGGATACCACTCGGCAATAAAAATGGACCAGATGACAGATATACACAACAACATGGATGAGTCTCACACGCATTATGTCCAATTGAAGGAGACGGTTATAAGAGAATATATATTGTACAAATCTCATTCATATGAAATCCTGGAATAGGTTAACCTGTTGTGAGAGAAATCAGATCAGTGGTTGCCTGGGGTGAGGAGGACTGACTATAAGGGGCATCAAGGAATTTTGGGGAGTGATAGAGGTATTTTATAATGTGATTGGGATGGTAGTTACACAAGTGTATATATCTGCCAAAACTCATTGAAATAGGGATGCCTGGGTGGCTCAGTCGGTTAAGCGTCTGCCTTTGGCTCAGGTCATGATCCCCGGGTCCTGGGATTGAGACCCGCATCAGGCTCCTTGCTCAGCAGGGAGCCTGCTTCTCCCTCTCCCTCTGCCTGCTGTTCCCCCTGCTTGTGCTCTCTCTCTCTCTCTCTGACAAATGAATAAATAAAATCTTTAATAAAAAAACTCATTGAAATATACACTTCAAATCTGCACATTTTTTGGTATTTAAATTACACCTCAATAAAGCTGATTCAAACAAACAAACAAACAAACAAACAAACATAGAGAGAAGCAACCATCCCTGCCTCAGGCACCGCATAGCCTTAAAAACGTGAATAGCATTTGCTCCAGCAATTCTATTTTTAGGAATTCATCCTAACAAAATAATCCAGGATATGTGCTGAGATGTGTAAGAATGGTCACTGCAGTATTCTTTGTAACAGTACAAACAGACACAAGTAAATAAATGTACAACAAGAGGGTCTGGTTATGGTGGAGATCTATAATGGAAAGCCGTACAGCCATTCAGACATTATTTTGAAAAACAGCAACTTGACTGTGAAGAAACCCAGCACATATCATGTTAACCAAGTGATCAAGGTTTACACCCCCAGCAGTAAGTTATATGGACAGCCTGGACCCCCTGATGTGATGGACTGAGAGGAACATAGTTATCACCTCTGTGGTTATTCTGGTCAACAATGTATAAAACCTGAACTGAGCCATGAACTAGTAAGAGACACATCCAAATGGAGGGTCATTCTGCAAAAGAAATGTCCAGCACTCTTCAAAAGTGTCAAGGTCACAAAAGACAAAGACAAGATCAAGGAACTGTCAGGTCGGAGAGGATTAGGGAGATATGACAGATGAAGGCAATGTGGGATCTTGCATTCGATAATCTCTGGACTATGAAAGAGACGTTAGTGGGACAACTGGCAAAATCTGGTAAGGTCTGTAGTTTTCGTTAATAGTAATGGCAATGATGTTAACTTCCTGGCTTTGCTAATTGTACTGTGGTCATACTAGATGTTAACATTAGGGGGACCTGGGGGGACGGTATGTGGCGACTCTCTGTACTATTTTTGCAACTTTTTTTAAAAGATATTTTTAAAATGTATTTATTCGACAGAGAAAGACACAGCGAGAGAGGGAACACAAGCAGGGGGAGTGGGAGAGGGAGAAGCAGGCTTCCCGCCGAGCAGGGAGCCCGATGTGGGGCTCGATCCCAGGACCGTGGGATCATGACCTGAGCCGAAGGCAGACACTTAACCAACTGAGCCACCCAGGCGCCCCTTGCAACTTTTCTTTAAATCTAAAATTTCAAAATGGAAAGGTAAAAAAACCATCCTGGTGAAGGATATCTACTGACTCAAGGAAATACTCACATAATAGTTCTGAGTGGAAATGTGCCCCATAAACACAGAAATATTTATTTTTTTGTGTGTTTTCCTGCCTTTTCCATTATTTTCTCTCTCTCTCTCTCTTTTTTTTTTGTACTGAGCATATGATATATTTACATTCGAGGGGAAAAAAGGTTATAAAAACACGTTGCCTATCCATCGAATGGGTGATGACTGGGATGAGAATAGAGACCTTCTGTCTACCCTGCTATATTCCATCTTGATAGGCCTAGGAAGGGGGACCCTTGAAGCAGCTGTGCCCACGTCGGCTAAGGACCAAGGAGGGGCATCCAGTTGTCCACTCACCCCAATGCCTGACCTTTGTGCCTATTTGCCTGTGCCCCTGTTGTAAGGGCCCTCTATCCCCTCCAGACTCCCACCAGTTCCTGACCTGGCCCCTGGACATATCCCCCAGAGGGGAATGCTGGTTCCCTCTGCAGCCTGTGGGAAGGTGGAGGTGACTGGGGAGCAGAGATGTGGGGGATGGCTGCCATGCTTGTTTTACAAGCCAATGGTGTGGTGGGAGCAGGAACAATGGTACAGCAGCTCAGTAGATGGCTAAGGCTGCTCAAGCTCTGTCCCTGTCCTGACAGCAGGCCCCGGGCTCTGCTGAATACCCATGTTGTGAGCTTTGTTTTCCTGCACCACCTCAGCCTCAGAGGCCCCATGCTCTCAAATGCCCTCACCCAGGGTCGCTCAACTATTGAATGTTCCATCTCATTCTGCGCCAATTGCCCAGTCTCTCCCAATGTCCAACCTAACTTGCTTTTGTCCCTCCTCCTTGAATTCAGTGAACCTCCAGAGAATGCTCCTTTCCTTTCTTCCTCACCTCCTTCTCTCTCATCCATGCATCCATCGATGTATCCATCCTTCTTTCCATTCTTCCTTCCCTCCCATTCACTGATGTCCCTCCTGCCACCTTCCATTACTGGACAGCCACTACTTACCAGACACAGCACGAGGCTCTGGTGATACTAACATGATTAAGACCCTGTCCCTGTTCTCAGGGAGCTCACTACCTAATGAGTAAGATAGACGCTAGACAAATTATTGTAATATAATGTGGTACAACTTGGCTAGAGCTGAGCACTAGGGGGCCCCAGAGCTGAGGTATGGGGTGGGAGTGGGAGCAGAGAAGTGATTAGGTAAATCTTCTAAGACCTAAGAGAAGGTATCATCCAAGCTGATCTTGAAACACTTGCTACTCAAAGTGTGGTCCCTGGACCATCTGCCTCAGCACTGTTGAGAAGCTTGTTAGAAATGCAGAATCTCACACCTCACCCTGGACCTGCTGAAACAGAACCTATAATTTAACCAGTTTCCCAGGTGATCTGGGTACATATTCAAGTTTGAGAAGCACTGTTTTAGTGGATAAGTAAGAAGCAGAATGATGAAGGAAATGTGGGGAGGATGAGGAAGAACAGGTGTTCTAGAAGTTCAAAAGTGACAGAATAGACAGTGGCCCCATGCCATCTTGGTGGGCAGCCTCCTACTCTGTCTGCCTGGCCTCAAGGTGGGGGAGGACATGACCACCTCATGAAAGGTCCTATGTCCCTGTGTCTCTGGAAACCCCTGTTGGCTGGCATCTGGCTAACTATGGGGACAGACCCTGCTGTCCCCTCTCAGGCAAATCTTTTTTTTTTTTTTTAAGATTTTATTTATTTATTTGAGAGAGAGAGTGAGCAAGCGAGAGAGCACAAGCAGGGGGAGCGGCAGAGAGAGAGGGAGAAGCAGGCTCCCCACTGAGCAGGGAGCCCAACGCCGGCTCGATCCCAGGACCCTGAGATCATGACCTGAGCCGAAGGCAGACGCTTAACCGACTGAGCCACCCAGGCGCCCTGTCTCTCAGGCAAATCTTGCCCAACCAGCCTGGCTTGGCTGTTAGGGGTGCAGCCTCAAGAGCCAGACAGCCTGGGGTCAGATCCTGTCAACCACCCCCTTCTTACCACTGCTTTTATTCAGCCTTGGTCACTGTCTTTGGATCCCCAATTCTCAGCTTCCATTAGCTGTAGGCAAGTTCCCTGGTCCAGGCCCCAAGCTTCCTACTTGCCCACGAGCGGGTCTAGATCAAGGGTTGGCAACGTTTTTTGGCAAAAGACTAGATCATGAATACTTTGGTTTTGTGGGTCATACAGTTTCTGTCACAACTATTCCCCTCTGCTTTTATAGCACAAAATCAGCTATAGGCAACAGGTAAACACACAGGCATGGCTAAAGTTCCCAGAAAACTTTATTTACACAAACAGGTATCAGGGTATATTTGATTTGTGGCCTATGG